CCATTCTTGAACTTCTACTTATGCAGCATACATATCCCAGGATTTCTACATCTCCCTATAGGACTTTGCACTGGCGTTTCATAATGCACATGTGTCTTATATAATCCTCATGCAGTTATGTAGCCCCCTAAGAGAATGCGCTGGGAGAGAAGGCTACCCTAGACATACAGGGAGACATCTAAACAGGTAGTGTAGTCACCCTCACAAAGGAAGTACAAGACCCACTTGTTTGAAAAAGGTAAATCTACATATCAGAACAGTCATGGTGTAGGCACGCACGCACGCACACCCATGGTTTTCCATGAAACTATTTTTTTTTATGTCATTGGGGGTAGAGATCAAATTAAGCAGGCCCAGAGTTCAATTAGAATTATCCTTACACCCTGTTAAATAAATGGACAATATCACCAAGCTCCTGATATCACTCCTGAACCTGGTACTTTGTGCATTACGCACTCCCGACACACAGCATAGTAGGCTCAGGTTTGATTTAACCATACCCCTTTAAGCCCCTTCCACTGTTTTCTGACTCCCAGAAGCCGGGAGGCAGTGAAAGGGCCAGGAATTGGTGAGTATCACTTGCTGGGAAGGTGAGCTGCCAGGAGACACTGTCACTGTGCTCTGAATGGGAAACGTGACTGTTCCTCTTTAAATTATGCAGTAACAAAGTATGAAGGCTGCCAGTGACAACATTCCCTTTGAATATACTAGTCCCATGGCCACCATGCTGATCTGGCAGATTCATTGCTTTTGGAGGCACTGATGTGGAATAATTATGTTGATCGTAAGTTCTGACTTCTCTTTCTGCATATCTGTTCCAGGTCAGTATTTCAAAGAGTATTGAAGCTATTGGATCACCATGTTCGCTATAGCAATGACAGCCTCCATACTTCCTCTCATTGCAGTGGCCTTTAAAATCTGTCACAACCAATGATACCTATGTATTATTATTATTATAAGGAAGGTAAGGAGGGCCCTGCCCCTGAGGGCTTACAATCTACAAAGCAGCTTCCATCCTCCAACACCTGTGGGCTTTATCTAACTTTCAAGCTGCATATCAGTTCCGAGACATGGAGCCAGAGAGGTTCATTTTTCTATACCATGCACTGAGTTGGAGGTTGAATGTTGCCTCTAACATAGTTATTGTCATCTGTGACGGTGGACCATTGCATCTTTATATTGAAGCTGCAAAGATACAGTCTGCCTAGGCAGTGCTTTCCTTTATGACAAAGAGCCGCAAATAGTACTTTCACATTGTTAAAGTATTCAATATTAATGCTTTAACCAGATTCTAATTTATTTTATGGTTTATGGGCAGCTTTACACTGGATTACGGTTCGGTCTCTTTGGGTGGTTTGCCATTGACCAAGTTCACAATCATGATCCATTTTTGTGATTGTTTCTTTTCTTAATGAGAAATGGTAGTGTATTGATTTGTAGATTTTCTGTATTCCAGGCAGCAACCCTGCAGAGTGACTGCTGAGATAAAAATCAAAGTCAATTGTCTTTAATCAGTCTATGCTGGTGGATAGACTGCTTCTGAGAAAGCAACTGTAAAATGTTAGAGCAAGGGTAGGCAACCTTGGCTCTCCACCTCTGGGGAAACCACAAAGCCCATCATACCTCTGCCTCTGGGAGTCATGCCTGTGGCTGTCAGAGGCTTGCAATGCCTCATGGGACTTGTAGTCCCACAACAGCTGGAGTGGCGAGGTTGCCTATCCCTGCTATAGAGTCACTCTACATTACTAATACTCAGAAAGTACAGCCTGCATACTGTATTTAAGAAAGAAACGTGTCTGCACCCATGTACACGTTTAATATGTATGTTAAGCCATAACAATTTTTTAAGGGTTGTATAACGTAGGGAAGGGTTAAAACGCCGTCACTTTTTTCTCTGTCTCTGTCATACTGCAGGACAGGACATGGGAGAAAATCTCATCAAAGAGAGAGGAAGTCACTGGAACAGGAGTCCCCTTTGAAGGATTTCCTCCCTATTCCTGTTCTGGTCACAGCTGAAAATGTTGTATTGTCCATTCATTTCTGTCATGGTGACAATGGTCATTATGACAAGTAAAGAAGGACAATCTCACCAGCAGGGACACAGGTAGCAGTAAAAACTTGACATGGGGTTCTAATCGTTTACTTCTGTATTCACACTTTAACCACTGTACATACACTGTAACCACTTGCCGTCTGGCTGCTGGAAATAACAAGGTTAAAAATAACATTAAAAGAAAATGTTGAGGTCCCCTCCCCACATACCTGCAAACACAGACAGGCATCGGGTGCACCTACGTGCAAAAATGACAACTACACCACACATGTTACATATCACCGCAATAGTTGGAGTGAGAGCGATAATTCTAGGGCCATCAATCACTGTGAACACCAAATTGATGAGCGGTAAAAGCTTTTAAATCATATGGGAAATTTTTGGTATGCTAGCTTTTTTCAATTTTGCGGGCGCACGCAATTTTAAGGCTTGACATGTTTGGTGTCTATTTACTCAATGAACAGAAACAGGAACCATACCGCACTCCTTACCGGGATTCCCACTTGATGAAAATGGGTGCTCGAAATGACTGCGGATGGCACCGCCACACATGAACAGTAGAAAAATGTCACCAGCACACCATGAGTTGAAAAAGCAAAATATTTTATTGCCAGTAGCTGTATCTCATTGGCCAATGAGATACAGCTACTGGCAATAAAATATTTTGCTTTTTCAACTCATGGTGTGCTGGTGACATTTTTCTACTATTTACTCAATGAGACCCCACCATTTTACTAAAAAATAGGGTAATAATAAATATTTCATAACTTAACGTTTTTTTCCCCCCAAAATGTTACAAATAAAAAAATAACAGTGCCGATTAAATACGACCAAAAGCTTTATCTGTCCCCAAAAATGGTATAAAATTAATTTCAATACAGTGCTGCATGACTAATAATGATGAATAAATGTCAAAGTACTGCAGCGCTAAATACTGAAAAATGGCCTGGACAGGAAGGGGGTTTAACACCCTGGTCTTTGAGTGATTAAAGACTATACTTGAAATATTTGGGGAGCAAAATACAATTGTACCAATATGTGGGCCAAGTCTGTTACAAAATGCAGTTATTTTTGTATACCTCCGTTTATCTTGGTCCACAACTAAAAGGTATGAGCCTGGTTCTACTGTGGGCCAGAGTTTCTACTTTTCTGGCCACTGAGTGAACATACCTGTTGTTATTCTGCAGTGGCAAAATGGAGAGGGCAGAGCTTCATGTGAAAATAGGTACAGTTTATAGGTAACAGTTTGAACATGTCAAAATGAGTCTATGATGTCCTGAAATGTCTCACCTAATGTTCTCAGACATACATTTTCCTTTATTCATGGCGGATGAATAAAGGACCATTTCTCCAAGTTTGGGACTGGTCATACTTCATGCCATACTGCAACAGGAAGCTCCTTCCACTGGTGCCACCAATGCCAGAACCCTGCAACTGTTATTGGTGCCTAAACTCAGATGGCATACTTCATCTCACTGTACCTGGGACAGAATGCACCCACCGCTCCACCCTAGGTATACCACTGCTCTGGACTCCTTTACATATGCTGTAATTGTAACTCAGGGTATAGTTCCCTGCCTGGCCCAGCTCTGCTGTCTGAATGAGTGATCTCATCTGCATTAGTTGAAGTTCTCAAAGAAGGTTCCTTCTCCCAGTAATGTCACATTCCCATCAGGAATGTTTGAGTTTTTGGTCGATACCAGCAAATTGAATTATCCCCCTCTGTTTGTGGACTCTGTATATCTGTGCAATAGTCAAGGTGCTAACCAACAACCAGTAAAGTGTATATCAAGACAAAATCTAAAAACATATGAAGTACATCTCTGCAATACATGTACATTTGTCCATGTTTGCCCTGTGGGGATAAGACACTTATCTTGCTTCATTGTGTTACTAGCTCTTACCACACAGGAGCATTATCTTGTTTGGATTCAGTCCATGCCGTCTGCCTTATACAGGCCCATTGTTGGGTTCACAATCATCGCTCTGTCTGCTACATTCCATTCATGGCTCTTTCCTACAACAATCTACATTGAACTTTGCTGATTCCAGCTATCAAAAAAATCCAATTCCCCACCTAATTCCATATAAACAACACATCTAATTATTCTGCTTAAGATCTGAACATTTGGTAGTTTATTCTTCTGGTTCCTGCTTTTTACTATGTTGTCAGTTTGAAGGTGCAATGAGCTTTTAAAGTCTTACTCTGGGCCAATTAAAAAATGACATATATTATGCAGCCCGTCATTAGTATTAACACGAATGGCAACACTTCTCTGAATTCAGGTGGCTACTTATGTCCCTCATGGCCCCTTTGTGTGTGTTGTAAAGTAGCCACCGCTCCAAGATCACTCCCATGATGGACTACAATCTCATGCTTAGTTTAGTCATTTGTATTGTGATTGTAGTCCATCACTGAAGTGAGCTTGGAGCGGTGGCTACTTTACAACACACACTGCCAGTATTAACACGAATGGCAACACTTCTCTGAATTCAGGTGGCTGCTTTAAAACACACACTGCCCTTCCTTCTGGAGGGGGGCTACTTTTGTTCCCCATGGTCCCTGTGTGTGTTGTAAAGTAGCCACCACTCCAAGGTCACTCCCGTGATGCACTACAATCACAATACAAATTAATAAACTAAGAATGAGATTGGAGCGGTGACTACTTTACAACACACACAGGGACCATGGGGAACAAAAGTAGCCACCCTCCAGAAGGAAGGACAGTGTCAGCACCAATTCAGAGATGATTTGAGGATCTACAGCGGAGTGGTACACAAATAAGAGACATTGTTATTAACATGTAAGGTACTTGAATACATTTTTAAGATTTAACTCCTGAGTTTAATGTCACTTTAATCTACTCAGCAAAATGATTAATCACTTAACTACATTTTTTTTCTTGTCACAAATGATTAATAAATGTGTAATTATGTTTTCTTTAGTATGACTGGAGCACCTCCAAGCTTTTGTTTTGTGGCCTTTCCACCCCATACAAAAAACAGCTGCATTTTGTTTGGGAAGAACTCAGCACGTCCCAGAGATGAAGTCCAAGAAGTGCTCTATGTGCCACCCAAAAGCCATGATCCTGGAAGCAAAGTTCAGGTAAGGGTAACGCTGTATTAACATCTTATGTGACCTTATGCAATCACTGCGATTAGCTACAAGATCAACTTCCTTTTAATGTGGACTTCCTGTACTTTTACCTTATTTCTTTTGTTGGTTGGATATTTGTAATTATGTTTAGAATACTTTTCCACAACAAAACTTAACCTGTGAATACAGCCGACTCAAAACCGATTCTTCAGTTACAGGTAGACGCTTGGTTTGATCACCCAATAGTTTGTGTTGGAGTCTTCACAACTTGGTTCCTAAGGCTGACTGTAGACAGGGCAAATGACTTCCCGCAAATGATGGCTATGGAGACACTTGTCTGTACATGATCACAGGGGAACCTTGCAATGTACACACGTGACTTAACTGGTGAATTGAAGCAGTACACATGCAGTTCTATACTTACAAGCTTGACCATCTCTGTTGACAAAACAAACCACTTCCAAAATCAAAGTGTAACCATATAATGAGCCAGTCCTCACAAGGCTTTAGATCCAAGATGGGATCAGGCTAGCCTAAGGCTCTATGTTGGTACATTGGTATCAAGTCCAAGAAGCCTAAGGTGTAAGGCAGCTATCACTGGTGCAGTAAAACCTTCCTTTCCTTTTACCTCTTGGCCTTAATACCTCTGTATATCACGCATTATATTTTAACCTATTGGACACTGTCCAGAAATGAAATAGTTTTGGGTGGAATGAAGTGGTCTTAGACAGGTAGGTCTGTCATCTGCTTCAGTGGGGGATTTTGCGCGGCAGAATATGATACCTGGCAGGAATTAAGTTGCCCCAGACTTGAATATTTGAGTCTTGGTGTCTGGTCTCTTCTTGTGTAATGTAATGAAAGCTGAAAACATTTTGCACATTGCTGCGAACAAATGAAACAAAAGTAAATATTGCGTGCTTTAGCTTTCATTTAGATGTTTTGTTCCAGGATGTACTGACGTGTACCAATTTAGATGATTTCCTGCCCAGTGATTACTTGAACCTTTCTGACTTTCCATTGCCTATTGTTATTTCCCTGTAAGTAGGAGCAGAAAGCCATTAAAAGTGCACAAAGGACAGTCAAGCATGTGTAGGAGAAGGAAGAGAACATTGTGCTCTGCTTGATGAATGAGCTCATGCTGTAGCTTGTCACACTGTGAGCCTGACCTGAATTGCTAACTGCTCATGTGATAACCCAGGTTTACCCATGCTGGTCCTTACAATGTTATTCTAATTTTCTGTTCTCTTTTCTACTTTGATGTTGTTGTCATGAACATAGGGGAACCTTGCAAGAATAGTATGGCATTTTTAAAAGATTGTATTACTGTGTGTTGTATTGATTTCAAAGTATTTATTGAATGACTGGTGTCAGCACTCACTGCTTAAAAATGATTATATATATATATGTATTAGAGGTCCACCTAAATGGAATTTTCAGACCAAAATCGAAACCATAAATAAAACATTTGTCAGGCCGAAACTGAAACCGAAAATTATTTTAAATATTTTATATTTCTTTTCCCTTTTGAAACAGAAAAAGAGATTGAGGAGACAGAGTCCTCTACACTGAGTGCTTCTGTCCATTCATAAACTGTGGAAATAGTATGTTGCTATGTCCATAATCATGAATGAACAGGAAGTGACGTAGAGCACTTCCTATTCATTCATAATTGGGCAAACAGTAAGTATACTATGTCGTCAGTTATTTACAAACACTCAGTGATCTGATCGCTGAGTGTTTGTATACCGCTCTCCATTATGACTCCTCCACCTGCCACAGTAGGCTGAGCGGGCGTCTCGGGGAGGAGAGCTCGGCCTCCTGTGACACCGCTGACAGCTGATTCCTCCCCCGCACCGTCGGCTCGGCCTCCTGTGACAGCTGTCTCCTCCCCGCACCGCTCTCCATCCTGATTTGCTTATCACAGGGCGAATGCTGTAATTTAAGTCAGTGGTATAGACTAGGAACCTAGGACTAGGTGCACCTTCCCAAAATACAGGCCACATCCCATGTCAATTGTCAATAGCTAATATTTACTCTGTCTTATGTTATTGTGATTTTCCAGTGCACATACCTTGAAACTGACCAGGTTGCCCAGACTCATTCTGTAATACTGAGTAAACCAGCTTGGATGTGGGGTGCTGAGATGGGAGCCAATGAACATGGAGTTTGCATTGGAAATGTAGCTGTTACCACAAGACAGGATGCTGAGGGTTCCAAGTTATTGCTGGCGATGGACCTGGTCAGGTAAGTGGTTTGTGCTATTCAGAACCCTGGGGCAAATGTTGGTATATAGCACTTTACAGTGAAAAAATGGGGAGCTTTTTAGTTTATTTGCATTGGTTGGTAATCTTAATTTGTTTCACGTTTGTCTTTAGAGTCAGTATCTTCACCTGGTTCTTGTAGGTTTATGATTTTTACCATCTTGGTTTTATGTCTTCCCTAAATGCTCTTGCACAGTGTGTACTATAGGTGTATGATTTCCTCAGCTGACGGTAAAGAAGAACCCTAGGTAAAAATTTGATTAACCCTTGCAGTAGGGCTACCCCTGCACTGCAAGGATTAAGTGCTAATTTTTGCCTACGATGATGTCCTATTAGTAGTTGCACTCCAACAACTATTAGTGGTGTTCCCTTTATACAATTACAGCTCTTCTTACTGCTTTCTGAAGGCCTATTCCTGTCCCTGGGTGACAACAGTCTGTTAGCAGGATCAGCTGTGTCACCTGGGAGGGCTCATTCATGCAGAATACTACAATCCTGCATGTCAACACACAAATGGCCTTGATGTACATGGTGGGATGTGGTAAAACACAGTCTCCTCTCACTCATACCTGTCTAATGAAGAACTTGATTGGCAGCATTGCCTCTGTGTGTTGCTGCTTTTGGACATAAGCTCAAGGACTCGTGGCACTATGCATGCAAGGAAATGTTGTTCTATCACCAATGTCATGTGATAATAAGCAGGGCCGTCCCACAGGTGGCATCTCTTTGGGTCACTTGGGGGGAAGCAGGCAGAGCGTCATGTTTGTTGAATAGTGGCCTTTTCTGCAAAATGCTGCCCCCTTTCCAGCCAGAGTGTCCCAGGTTGGAGCCGGGTGTAAAGATGTGAAAGGCCACACACATCTCCCCGCTCAGGTCTTAGCAACCTGGGATGCTCTGGCTAGCGTCCCACCCTATCCCCCCGCCGCCTCAGGCACTTTGGAATCCCTGATCATCAGTCTGTGTCCCAAAAAGTCTAGGCACACCACTGATAATAAGTAATCGTACACCTGCGTCTGGAGTGCAATTGCACATAAATGGAAGTTTTAGGAGTGTTGAATAAAACTTTATATTTACAAAAAGTTTTTGTTTTGTTTTTTAATGGACCACTGAACTATTGGGGGAAAGGATTGCAAAAATATTCATTTTAATTTTGAGAGTCTAGTTCTACGAGTTTCTTACAGTGCCACATTTAAAAGTTCTTGTTTTTCCAGGCTTGGCCTTGAACGTGGGACAAATGCCAAAGAGGCTCTTCAAGCAATAGTGTCTTTACTAGAGAAGCATGGCCAAGGGGGAAGCTACTTCCAGACTGATGATCAGGGATTCCAAAGTGCCTTTCTCATTGTGGATCGCTCAGAGGCCTGGTTACTGGAGACAGTGGGCACATTTTGGGCAGCTGAAAAAATTACAGGTTAGTGAGGGTTGATCTACTGATATGTTACTATCTTGTGTTCATGTATTAGGCATGACTGTTTATATTCTAGTTTGGAAACTGCTATATGAAGTCTATGGCCATACAACAATAAAGGCCATAACAATTAGCATCGTGGTGATCTATTTTTGTGCTGTAGCATCCCCCCCCCCCTCATAGGAATGCCTTTAGCTTGGGCTTTAACCAGTGATGGAGCTACAGCATGGCACAAAGAGAAATAAATATATGATTTTAATGCAAATAGGCCACAAATCAGAAGTGGACCAAGTGTTTTAAATGCATTTGGTCCTGTGGAGGATTCAAGAAAGACATTATTACTTGCAAATACTTATTTTTAAGTGAGTTTTAAAATGCATCATGTGTATATCATGAAATTTATGTTTCAGGAAAGCTGTAACTTCCCAGCCAAAAACTGAAATTGGACTTGCAGTGATAGATTGAGGTGCAGGTTAGGGGTAAAAGTGAATACCCCCCATCCTCTTCCCCATTACTCCATTGACTATGCAGCAAGTTGCTCACTCCCCTTTCACCCATGTGACCGCACTGGTGGTTGGTCTACAGGTCTACTTTAAGTTTGATGGGTTTAGATCGTAAGCCCTCAGGGGCTCACCATATTGTCTTGAATTGTAATTGTAATGTCTTCCTTAGATTGTAAAGCGCTGTGCAAACTGTTGGCGCTATATAAATCCTGTATAATAATAATAACGGCTTGTTAAGATATTCAGGGGAATTTATCACAACAGGAGCACACACAATCTGGAGCAGATTTGCACTGCAGCCAATCAGCGTCTCTGTCTCATTTTCAAATCTTACCTGAGCAAACTGAGGAGAGATCCTGACTGGTTGCCATGGGCAACTGCTCCAGGTTCTCTCTGCTCCAGTTTTGATAAATTCCCCCCCATTGAGTTAGGTTTGGTGTTAAGAGATAAATTGAAGTGGTAAAAAGTAACTAAACTACAGAACAAAAATGATAGATTTTACAAAAAGTATATAATGCAGCCTTCCAGCACTTAGATCCTGTGGCTGCTTTAGTTTGCATTACAGGCTACGAACATTTTCAGCAAGTACGGAATACACCACTTGATCTTAACAAAGTGCAGTGATTTGTCACTTCCTGGGAGTTGAACAGAAACCAGAAACAATGTTACCATACTTCCAAACTATGTTTTGAAAAATACAAATTACCCCCCGCCCCCCAAAAATAAATAAAATAAAAATCTAAAGGAGAGTAAGACATTTACTGCAAGTGAATGTTCCACCTGCATGTGGTTTAAATGACAGTGATGGATTCACTGCTTTATAAATACACCCCCAATTATACAACTTCATATTCACCTGTTTGAGTTTCTTCTTGTCACATAGATGGTGTAAGATGTATCTGCAACCATTTATCACTAAAGACACAGCTAGACCTGGAACACCCAGAGCTTCGGAGTTATGCAAAAAGCCAGGGCTGGTGGAGTGAAGATACAGAATTTAACTTCTCTGAAGCCTTTTCAGAAGGTGATATTGGAGATCGTTGTTCAGGGAAGAAGACCTTAGAGAATCAGGATGGTAAATATTGACTCTGTCTTGAATGGATTCTAATCCTTTTATAAAGGTGTAGTAAAGCATTTTGAAAAGCAACGTTTAAGTGCAAAATGAATTTTTACATTGAAACTAATTAGGGTTGAGCTTAATGATCACATCACTGAAAGATAGAGTCTGATTGGTTGTTTTAGGTTATGGCACTTTGCACATTGGGATACACATGGCTCCAATGGCCAAACGTCCAGCACATCTGTGTGGTTCCCTTCCTCCACTTTAAATAATTAAAATGAAACCTGACATCCTTTGACTTCCATACAGACCTGAATTGTCTGCTCTTTGCCACTAGATGGTGCTGTACATATAGAGCATATATGATCTGCAGTATGAATAGGAGTGAAAAAACTACGTCCTGCTGTAATTCACATACCGGTAACTGTTTTCTTTCATCTTCCCGTAGAGTAGTCATGGGGGTCCCCAGCACACGGGGCCGTCCCTATAATGAGTTAACCCGAGGCAGATGCCTCAGGCGGCATCTCATTGGAGGGCAGTCGTTGGGAGGGAGGGGGGCACAGCTTCCCAGGTTGCTAAGAGCCCTTTTCAACCCGTGACACTCTGTGTGGCTTCCCGCCCGGTTCATGAATGTCATCGGTTGCAGGTGCTGAGTGGGATGCTCTGGCTGGCGTCCTGCCGAGCTCCTTGCAACCGGCGACGTCAGTGAGCTGGGCGCTTTTCAGGGCAGAGCTGCTGACAGCTCGGTCTGGCTTTCCCGGAATGCAAGCCTTAGGCAGCAAATAGTGTAGGGACAGCCCTGGCAGCAACAAAAAAAAATCTAAGTCTCCATTCACACCTAGGCATCAGCTTTTTTTGCGCATATTAGCGCATGTTTTGTTTAGCCTACCATCTAGAATGTTTAGCGCGGTTTTTGCGTATTTTGCACATTTTTAAGTGCGTTAGACACACATATACAAAGACACAGGTTTTATTTAGCTGATTGAAATGCATCATGGTAACGTGCGCACAAACGCGTAAAAACACACACAGAAATGTGCAAAATGCGTGCGTTTTCGTGTGCTTCCATTGAAGTCTATGCAGCCAAACACACTGTAATCTGTCTGAAAAAAAAGCTCATGTACCTTTTCCATCGTTCAGCGTATTACAGCTCGTGTCAAAACTCTCAGGTGTGAACAGGGGCCATAGAAATTAATGGGATTGTTGTGTTGAGAGTTTTGTCGCGCTTAGATTTGAGCATCAAAACGCCCAGCTGTGAACAGGGACTAAGACCCCTTTTACACTATTCAGATCCACCTGTCCGTTTTTCAAGCAGATCTGTACCGATAGTACAGATAATGTAACTCTACGGGCAGCCGGATGTAAACAGCCCTGTGTCCAAAATTCAAGCTGCAGAAGGCCCTGAAAGCGCTACACGGCTCGGCAAAAGTCAACTTAAAGTTCAACTGCTGAGCCGCTGTGAAATTATTGGCTGCTTGGCAGTACCACTATATTTAGGCAGCCGTGGGTGCCATGATTGCTTGATACAATAGCCAGCAGTGGAGATTCTTCCATGCTCACTGTTTAACATGGATGAGGGAATCCACTGAAAATCGATGTGAACAAGAGAGCATTGAGCCATGCATGGCTAGCATTAGATTCTTATCATATAAATTACCATTATCCTATAAAGATCATTATACTTTCTGGGTCTCTGTTTTCTCTAGAACTGACGGTGGAATCAGCGATAAATATCCTTCGTAATAAAAGTTGTGGAAATTGTGTGGACTCCGATACCTTCCTGACTACAGCGAGTTCAGTGTCTGTTCTACCTCAGGATGAGAAATGGCCTTGTATCCACTTCCTCACTGGCACACCGGACCCCTCAAGGTACCGTGTTTCCCCGAAAATAAGACACTCTTATATTTTTTTTGCCCCCAAAAACCACACTAGGTCTTATTTTCAGGGGATGTCTTTTTTTTTTTTTTTGCCCCCAAAAACCACACTAGGTCTTATTTTCAGGGGATGTCTTTTTTTTTTTTTTTGCCCCCAAAAACCACACTAGGTCTTATTTTCAGGGGATGTCTTTTTTTTTTTTTTTGCCCCCAAAAACCACACTAGGTCTTATTTTCAGGGGATGTCTTTTTTTTTTTTTTTGCCCCCAAAAACCACACTAGGTCTTATTTTCAGGGGATGTCTTTTTTTTTTTTTTTGCCCCCAAAAACCACACTAGGTCTTATTTTCAGGGGATGTCTTTTTTTTTTTTTTTGCCCCCAAAAACCACACTAGGTCTTATTTTCAGGGGATGTCTTTTTTTTTTTTTTTGCCCCCAAAAACCACACTAGGTCTTATTTTCAGGGGATGTCTTTTTTTTTTTTTTTGCCCCCAAAAACCACACTAGGTCTTATTTTCAGGGGATGTCTTTTTTTTTTTTTTTGCCCCCAAAAACCACACTAGGTCTTATTTTCGGGGAAACAGGGTATGTAAGTGTTCCTTTGTCTACAAACATTCTGGATACTGGATGTGGGATCACCTTTTACATTTCATCAAGAAGGAACAGTCTTCTTACCAGCACTTATATACATGACCAGGGGCGTATCTGCCGCGAGGCAAACAAGGCGTTTGCCTGGAGCGGCAGATTCGCTGAGGGGGGGGGTGCTGTATGAGCAGCGGCGGGTCAGTCAGGGGAGGGGGGATTTTCCGAGAAGCTGCGGGGGAGGGGGCGGCGCTGCTGCCTTGCCTAGGGCAGCAGCAAAGTTAAATACGCCGCTGTACATGACCCTAAATCATGTTAGTTAAACCTGTGCCTGCTCATAAGTGTCTTCTCTGCTTTATTGTTGTTGACAGTCTTGCATGCAACATGTTTCTTTTCCTCTTTTTTTCCTATTATATGGAGCCTCTAACCAGGGGTAGGCAACGCCGACCCTCCAGCTGTACTTTAACTACAAATCCCAACATGCCTCTGGGAGTCATGCCTGTAACTGTCAGCTTTGCAGTGCCTCATGGGACTTGAAGTTCCACAACAGCTGGTACACCACGGCTCTAGACTAAGCTGCTCCATGATCAATTGGTAGATCTAAAGGAGTTTGTATACCTCCCCTCCCACAATTAAGTGACTTGTTAAATGGATTGCAACTACATACATAGTGACAGTAGCGATGATGATAGCAGCATTACTAGTGGAATATCTCTCCAGTGCTCAGACGTGGTGGCTGCATCAGCTTTCTTTTTTTTCCTGGCTTTTTTTACTCTATTTTCACCTGGTGATTCTCCAGTAACACACTTCCTGTCCAAGGATGACAACCCTCTCTTACCCTTCTGTACCAGGACTAAAGAGACAAGATAGGACTACGGAACCCCACCCCTCAACTATAGTGTATAACCAGGGCTGTCTCTATAATGAGGCATCTCTTTGGGTCACGTGGGTCACCCCCCACAATGTTTGCAGTGTGCCTGCCGCCCCCTTTCCACCATCCTAGGTTGCTAAGAGCCATACACATCTACCAGCCCAGCTCTTAGCAATCTGGGACGCTCTGGCCGGTGTCCTGCCCAATGATATCACTGGGCCGGAGCCAGAGGTGAATGGTGAGATGATGCAGAGGACCCCCTACCACATTCCTCCCCGCTGCTTGAGGTGGCAAAAAGACTAGGGATGCCCCTGTCTATAACATAGAGCAGGGGTAGGCAAACTCCAGCCCTCCAGCTGTGGCGAAACTACAAATCCCATTATGCATCTGCCTCTGGGAGTCATACTTGTGGCTGTCAGAGTCTTGCAAAGCCTCATGGGATTTGTAGTTGCGCCACAGCTGGATGGCTGGAGTTTGCCTACCCCTGACATAGAGAGGAGTGGTTCTGTAGTCCTCTGAGAACAATTTGATTGATAACTGCACAGGAAGTTATCAGCTCCCTAGATTTCCAGCAAGATTAACAGGTATCTTTTGAAACTGATCAAAAATATTTAGCGAAACACTTTTCAATGGCATATTTACCAGACCAAAAGGGACTGAATAAAAGACGTTCATTGTTTTATACACGTTCATTGACTTGTTTTATTGCAATCTCTGTTATTTCTGTTGCTTTAATTGATTTCCAGGTCAGTATTTAAACCCTTTATATTTGTGGAAGACGTGAAAGCAGTCCCGAAGGTTCAGTCATCTTGTGCTGGGGATTGTCATCATGAACATTCAGAATATAAACATGAACTGTATGAAGCTCATCAGTGTGCTGTAGCTTTAATGGACAATGACAAGGTAAGCAACATTTTGTACCCATTTCATTTATATTGCCCTGGTGGATTGCAATATATTATTAGTATTGAATAGAGAAGGGAAGGATCAGAACACCTGGCAATTTGTATTGCTGTTTGTGGTCTCACTAGGTAGATTCACTCTCTGTCTGTCCTAGCGACCATTTTCACCAAGGCAAAGTGAGAAACCCAAATTTTACAGTTGTCACCAAAACCAAGTAAGGGGAAATCTTCCAATGGGGACACCTGTTTCGGTGACAACTGTCTAAGAGAGCAATTTCCTCACTTTGGAATGATTTGGTCTTTTTTCCTATTGTGGCCCTCAGACAGGAAGTAAAAGAAAATCTCCCAAAAGGACTCAGGAAAGAAATAAACTGACAGGTTTTAACTCTTCCCTACTTAATCCAAACCTATAAAAAAAAGATTTGGCTACACTTAAATGCCATGGTGAGTTTCTTTAAATGTATAAAAGTACAATGACTGGCTAGAGGTGAATACGTTGTTTTTTCTGAAAGCCTAAGGCCACTTTCAGAAGGGCAGTCTGATCAGGTCCGTCTGTCAGTTTTTCCGGCAGATCTGGTCGAAAGCCCAAAGATAGTCTATGGGCAGCCAGATCTAAACAGACGTGCGTCCGTGTATATCCAATTACCTCCGACTCCGGTCAGGTCCAGATAGCAAAATGGAACAGATTTATGTTTTGGCGGACCTGATTGTGGCAGATTGAGGGTAATCTGATATAAATAGACACATGCCCATTTACATCCGACTCCCCATAGACCTAACATGGGTCTATGGCTTATGGGTTAAGCTCCAATTACCTCTGACTCCGGTCAGGTCCAGATAGCAAAACGGAGCAGATTTATGTTTTGGCGGACCTGATTGTGGCAGATTGAGGGTAATCTGATATATATAGACGCATGTCCGTTTTCATCCGACTCCCCATAGACCTAACATGGGTCTATGGCTTATGGGGTAAGCTCAGTTTTTTCCTCCATGGTAAGATTTTACCAAAATGTCCTGCAATTTGAGACTACCGACCAAGGAGACAGGGGAGATCCTCTGGAATGTAGAAGATGCCTTGTGGTAAAAAAAATGTTTTTACATATGGTTCAGAACAGATTAACCTTATTTACATTGAACCTTATGGGGAAAATGTGATTCTGTTCGCGACCACGTTCGTAGGGGTCAGAACGGATTAACCTTATTTACATTGAACCTTATGGGGAAATTTGTTCGCGACCAATTCCAATTCGGTTCGTGACCAGAATCATGGCACGGATTAAGTTTGTGATCCGAGGTACCATTGTATTAACTCTTTCACATCCTAATTGGCCAGCTACACCCACACCTTGGGTGTCCAGTGCTTTTATTCTACTTCTTTCCATGTGATATTTCATGATATCATCTCTATTTGATATAATGGCAGGTGTTCTACAACAGGATTACTCCATAAAAACTATAATTGAAATGAAATGTTGTTGTCTTCATTGTGTCCATGTAGGAAGCAGGAGATAAACTTCTGTGCACGATGTTAGATCTGGAGAAACAAGGTTTAGATGCCATGGAAGACATTCTTAATAGTTCCGATCCATTAGACCCTGCGGAAGTAGTAGATCTTTTCTATGATTGCGTTGACACAGAAATCAAGTTCTACAAATGAGGTAAATTACATTTTATGTGTTGCTGATGGCATATTATTCAATAATATACTCCTTGCCTAGCTTTGGTTTACTGAGGTAGCTAAGAAAAACGTAGATCTTTTCTTGAACACCAACAATCATCAGAACCTGCTGCTATGAGCTTCTAGATGTTACTCGCCCCCTTAAAAAAACAAAGCACTTTGTGTGTGACATTTAAATGAGAAGTATTGAGAGAGTAATACGTTCTGTTTAGCAGGTGGTGCCACTTGTCAGATGTAACCATAGCAGTTAAATGAGACTGCGCTGCAACTGTTTGGAATGCCAGATAAAAAAAAGCCAAACAACAGTATATCCTCCCGAATGCCCATAAACCAGCTGCCAACCTCTCACAGAAAAGCAATGCACTGCTGAAAAAGGGCAGTAAAGTCGGCTGCCCATGTGAACTTGGTCTTTGACATTGAAGTGACACTAAATTCAGGAGTTAAACTTTAAAAGTTAATTTAAGTACCTTAACTATTAACAAAAATGTATCTTTGTGTGTCACTTGGGTGTAGATCCTCAAATAATGCCTCAGGCTAGGTTCACACCCAGGCAATTGAGCTGTTTTCGCACGTTTTTGTTTGCACGGTTTTCAATGCAAACAGATGTCTATGGGACCCAAACCGTGCGGCAATCGCCTGAAAATAGCTCCTGTACCTTTTTGTGCGATAGGCGATTTCTACCGCGTGACAAATCGCAAAGGTGTGAACAACTTCCATAGACTTGAATGCAAATCTCTGTTTTGTGTGCGATACCGTGCGGATTTAGCCTAGTGAAGCTAGCCTTAATGGGTGCTGCCACTGTCTTTGCTTCTGGAGGGTGGCTACTTTTGTTCCCGATGGTCCCTGTGTGTGTTGTAAAGTAGCCACCGCTCCAAGCTCCCTCCTGCGATGTACTACAATCTCATGTTTAGTGTACTAATTTGTACTGAGATTGTAGTCCATCACGGAAGTGAGCTTGAAGCGGTGGCTACTTTACAACAAACACCGGGACCATGGGAAACATAAGTAGCCCCCCTCCAGAAGGAAGGACAGTGTCAGCACCAATTCAGAGATGATTTGAGGTTTTACAGCTGAATGATACATAAATAAGATACATTTTTGTTAATAGTTACGGTACTTGAATGTATTTTTAAGATTTAACCCCCGAGTTTAGTGTCACATTAATATGGCATTCTGTAAAATGTTTCTACACAGCTGACTTCCTGTTCATTTATCCCATAATAGAGATGAGCAAATTGATCTGCCAATATGTCTGTGTTGGATTTTGCAAAGGCTATAAAATGTTTTACTTACATTAGCTGAGCACTAACATTTACTTACCTTTCTTTTTTACAATTGTCCATGGCCTTTGGCCCCATTCACTTTTTCAAACTGAGTAAAGAAAAGCTGGTATGTTTCTAAGCATGTAAGACATTTATAATATTGAAGCTATATTCAAAATGGAACCTATTGTATATCTTTAGGATATATACTGTATAAGCTCATGTAATACATACCGGTACATTTTGTCTTGGCTTATTTTTGCAAAGCTGAACTTATATTCTATCCTGATTTGTTTCTATTAGATATCACGGACATAATCCTGCAGACAGAAGAGCACGTGACATGTTAAGGCTTCCCCACGTGGCCATGTGGATGACTCTGCTGTCCCCTGTGTAGCTATGTGTCACTGGTATTGTGTGTTTGTACAGGGAACAGGATCAACCTCCAATGCTCAGTGCATGTAGATTAACAGAGCTCACTATGTGTCTAACCAACAATGGATCATCTGAAAAGATCACACCTGACATATTCTATTAAAAGTCATTTAGTTGAAGGCTAGTTAGAACCATATAAAGGTGAGAGTAGAGAGAGATCACAGAATGAGCAGTTATTTGAGTAGAAACGTGCAGAATGTTGAAATCTATTAGTGGAGTTATTAGAATATAAATCAGTGATTTGCAATTATTTAGCTCATACATTTGACTTGAAGAATAGAATTATAAGAACTTGAATTTAGATTTGAGATCTCTAAACCGCAATGTTTTAAACTGAAGGCTTTACAGATTGGGTTGTTTTCTAATATTTGTAAATGCCGTGTTTAAAATAAACACATTCCATTGAAACGAAGGCTCCTGCTGCTTAATTTGTTTGTCATGGGTGTCATCCTAATGTTTGTGGACACTAGAAAATCATACCGTTGGCCAGCAGACCGGGGGAAAATGGAAATCGGAATTCATCGGCATAAATATACATAATGCCGACACTTTTCATAATGTACATTTACATCAGTCCCTCTTGTTAAGGAATTTAAGGTATTTATATAGTGCGGACAATTTTACGCAGTGCACATTCACATCAGTCCCTGCCCTCAAGGAGCTTACAATCTAAGGTCCCTATCACACATGCATTAAAATCTAAGGTCCCTATCGCACATGCATTACAATCTAAGGTCCCTATCACACATGCATACAGGACCAATCTAGACAGCAAGTCTTTGGAGTGTGGGAGGAAACTGGAGTACCTGGAGGAAACCCACGCAAGCACAGGGAGAACATGCAAACTCCTTGTAGATAGTGACCTGGCCAGGATTTGAACCAGGGACCCCCAGTGCTGCAAGGCAGAAGTGCTAACCACTACGCCACTGTGCTGCCCTATATCACATAAATACATACACATACTAGGGCCAATATCCCTATCAGCATATCTTTGCTGTGTAGAAGGAAACTGGAGTACCTAGAGGGAAATCTACACAAGAAAAGGGAGTACATGCAAACTCCATGCAGATAGTGTCCTGAGCAGGATTCAAATCAAGCACCCCAGTGCTGCAAGGCAGATGTGCTGCCTGACTGTATGTTTATGGAAGAAGAAAACCCATTGTGCAGTCAAGTTATAACTACATATACCACAGCCCGGTAATGTATATAGGTGGCCATACACTTTACAACCATCGCAAGACCTTAGTCTTGCGATGGTTGTAAAGTAATTAAAAAAACGTACGATCTGCCTATCTTGGACAGGCAGATCGTACTGAGAGGCGGGATTCCGATGACCGCAATGCTGAACGGGCAGTGTGCGGGGCCGCACACCGGCCCGTTCGGCATTTGTCTCCCGAGCACTGTTCTAACCAGCCGAAAATCGTAAGATTTTCGGCTGGTTTTCTAGCATGCTCCTTAGACAAAAGACGTGCGACCGTACAGTACAAACGTCTTCATTCACACTGCACGATTCTTGTACGATCGCGGGATTTCCCACAATTCTCATACGAGAATTGTGCAGTGTATGGGCACCTTATGACTTATTGTAAACCTGAAGTCACTTTTAAAACGAGTAATCTGCAGCATATATGGGTACACCTTGTCTGGGATGTCCAAACCTTTGCATTCTATTGTGCACACAACCACTGATTAGTGATCCCTCCCATCACCGTAATGGATCAGTAATGTCACAATGGACAAGAAATGAATCAAACAGTCAGCTGAAGAGAGTTATTTACTGCAGGGCGTAAATAAGGCATATATTATTATTTGTAGATCATATTTACCAACAGTCATTTAAATAGCTCAAAGCACTTTATAAAAAGAACAGATAAGGCACAAAATAACTGGATATTTGCATTGCAAATGCATTCATCATACAAGATAATCAATTACTGTTGCCTTTGATCAAGGCTTACACACTACTGTATTTGTATTACGTACATCTGTTTATGAACAAAGGAAAAACTTGATTTCATCATTTTTCATCACTTTTACTGCTCTACTATTACCATAGATAGATAGAATTTTTACTTCAAATTTCACAAAGACTAAAAATATCTGCCACAAAAACTGGTACAGCCACAAGCCATAACTGCTGCTTGCAATATAAAAGAAGGGTGTATACACAGTAAAGCAAAATTTGAGTTAAAAACAATGAATACAAATGAATAGCCAACTTAACATAAAAAAGCATCTTTTACAGCACTACTTATTTCAATCCAGGCCCCCGACAGCACTTCTGGGTTGAATGACAGCCAGCATCATTCATCTTACTTCCTCTGAGCCTAGGCTGTCATGGACCAGCCCCCAACTTGTGACTGGACAAATAAAGGAGAAGCAGAACATTAAGGATTTCATCTCTCTGTCCCTTTGCATTCTCCTCCTATCAGCATGTTGTACATGAACTGATTAGATTCTTGTGCTGCTTCATCCTCTCCTGCTCTGACCTCTGCTCTACATGGACTGCAAGAAGCTGACACCAGGTCAAATTCAGGTATTTGCACTGCTTGCATTTAAAAATGAGATTTAATAATGTATTACATATTACAAAGCTGCATTCATTTGTGTCTTTTATTTATGCTTAGAATTCAGCTTAAAAAAAAGAAGTTTATTTTCACTGTTATATTAGAGCTAGGGCCCATTCTTATTTGTGTGTGTGTAAAGGAAATCTATTATGGGAAAATATGGCGGCTGCAATTGCTAAGCTCTGGCTTTGGAAATGCTAATTGCCTGGCTATCACGATGTGCAAAGCACTCACAGCTACCAAATTATTATGAATGTCTCACCTGCCTGAATTAAAGGACCCATTCACATTACTGCACATTGTTAGCATTTGTGTGCATTGCGTTAAAGTAGCCCACTCATTTGAATTGACTGTCTAAACACCAAAAAAGGTGCATGTTACATCTTTGACTGTGCAGTACACTGCACTGCACTACAAGTCCATCAGCAAAGAATGAAAGGCACTGCACCGCACCAACATTACTGCACAGCAATAGGGTGAATGGACTCTAAAGAACTTTGTGCTTGTGCCTTGTTGCATAAACCTGAATAACAGACTTATTTCATGTTGGGCACATAGTGAAAGATACTGAATTTCCACTTTACCTTCAAACAGTTAATTGTGGCCAGGCCTTTGTTTACTGAGTAGATGATCCAGACGCCAGCACTTTACAGGCTATGGGCCACAGCCACACGTGTCCAGTATGGCTGCACAAAAAAAAACTGTTCCTCATTCTCACCTTGTAAAATGTTCAATTCTGTACTTAAATCTTGCAATGCATACCCGCTTTTATGCCCTGCATAATCAGCATTGGTATACAGGGATACCCACTGCTCTGTAATTGTGTTGAAACGTGCCTTTAAAATCTGCATGCTAAACCTCTTCAAAGTCGGTGCCTCTTTTGGCACAAAATTATGATTAAAAACAAAACCACAAAACAATCTAGACAGTTGAGGTTGGATACCAGGGGGTCCTAGTACCAAAGCTTCTTAAAGAAATTCAGAGAGATGGTCCATCAGTGACCATTCTAGTTTGGTGGCTTACCAAGTGGTCTTGTTGACACCGCTGCCAAAACAAAGCCAAACTAGCCCTTTAAGGACGTAGTATATCCATCTGATATCCTTGATTAAAAAAGATCAATGTTGAATTTTTTTGTGTCCACACAAATTTGGAGCTTTGACTTGGAAGTAGGCTTAATAATGGCAGACGGTACCTCTTAGTTACGGCTCTCTATATGCACACAGTAGAAGTTTTGTAAAGAATACAAGTTATCTGCAGGCATCTTGTAAATTTGTGTTATACACATTTAAAAGTGTGACAGGTTTTCTTAAAAATTTTAGGATGAGTACGGCCACTCTTAAAGAGACCCTTGCAGCTTCTGCAAAGGGCATTCCCCCCCATTTACTCATCTTACCAATCCTCTATCGCAGTTCTTTGCTCCTTCACAGCCAGTGCTGAAGTAACTTGTGTTGGCAACATGGAGCGCCGTAATGTCAGTCTCCAGGTCAAGTTGTGGAGCTTTGGCGTAGCAGCCAATGCTAGGCCTGAGAACTGTCATAGGGAAGCAGCCCACATACACCGGGTATACTTTCCAGCTGTAGAAGAGCAAGGGACTACAAGGTAATGCTGGCAAGGTGAGTATAAGGGGGTCTGGTGATGCCCTTTCCAGGGAGATTATCACAGCGTCCCTTTGAAGCAATGTGCTCATCACTGACTATGATAACTAGCCAATCAGAAAACATCTGTTTAGCAAATTCAGATTTTTTTTTCTCCACGGAAAAAGAAGAGAGCCACTAACCCCCCATTACAGTACTTAACCCAGAGTCTGGGATAAAAGTTGCACAAGTGCCACCGATGTTAAAAATCGATGTTTGTTGACCCGGGTGTTGCCAACAGGGCCACCAACAGCTGGAATTTTGGCCGACTCAGCAGGAATCAGCTCATATTTGAGCAGTGTATGGGCAGCTTAAAGCTCATCCCTGATTAACTGTAACAAAAGTACAGTTCTCTAGGTATTGCATTGATGTGTCACATACAGCTTCAGTCATTTAAATGAGCTCTAACTTTTATGACATTTGTACATACAATTTTACTCCAGCATTTACACAAGCTCTGTATTACTAATTACAATCCATTCTACGTGGCTAATGTAAATGTATTCATATCTTTTATGTACATTTGTATTATCTTTATAAATATCAATTCATAATCACACACTGATCACAAATACACAATATGGTGTCTGCAGACAAGTCCCAGAACTTGAAGACTCCTTCTTCTCCAGATATTTTCCCTTTTATTCTTCGGTCATTGAAGAGAGAATGGTCTCATCTTACCTGAGGTCTCTGGGGTGGTGGGACGGAGGGCTCTGGCAGCATGTAAGATACAAGAATATGGATGAAACAACATTATGGAAGACACAAGACTGAAACTTTCCATTCCTTTGATGTAAGCCATCGCTTCAGGTAAACTTGTCATAAGAGAAACATGAAGACTGACACTGCTGACCTCTTCTCCAGAAAATGCTAATTGCCTGGCAGTCATTCTCAACATCTTGATTCCCGGGCTAGGAGCAATATACAGATAAAGACTTCTGACTATTCTCTGATTTTTCTGATCTACAACCCGGATCAGTGACTAAAAAGGTATTGAAGTCAGTGGGTGAGTATAACAGGCAGCTAACTTGCACTGGTTTTGCCTGGAGTACAGCTTTAAAGCAACCAATCAAAATTCATCTTATGCTGGTCTGACTTTAGCAATGTGAGTTCTGATCTGATCAGGTACTGCTGCAGCACACACTAAGTAAATGAAATACCAAGTGTACATAACCTCATATTACATGTATAATTTGATCCTCATTGGAAGTGTTAAAATTATATTTTTTTCAGCATGTGTAACCAGCTGAAAAAGACTTGCAGAGGACATAATCTGGATACGACTGTTACACAGTGGTTAGCTCTGTGGTTTTGGGATCCCCTGGCTCTCTTAGAATCTGTTTTGTATTTCCTCCTTTTCTTGTTTGTGTGGATTTGTGCCATGACCCAAAATCGGACTAACAAGTTATTGGGTCGCCAGTGTGTGTGTTTATGGATTGATCACTTGAGTTTGTTTCATGCTGACATGTTGGGATAGAAAACTCTACATATGTCAAGCACCATCTTACAGTATGACAAAAACTAAACTTAAGCATACATCCATGGAGCCAAACAAGAGAGATCACAAGGTTCCCCAGGTCTCCGCTGCCACCTATTGTGTTCTGACAGCTGGCGCCCCTGGGTGTCAGGATATCCAAACAGCCGATAGGCTGCAGTCACTATTCCATTGACAATATTCCACGTGGCTCCTTCAATTTTCAGATAGAAATTTGTTGAGCCCAGATAGTGCTAGCAGGGCCACCCACAGACTGAATTTGGCTGATTAAGCAAGAATCAGAAGCAATTCGGTCAGTGTATGGCACTGTGTTCACAATCACTTCCTGGACATCATGTGAGAACACTTTCACAAGTCTCTAAAAAGTAATCTGCACAAAGAATTTGGAATTTCAGTCTATATAGCTCTTTAACATTCTGCTGCTACTTGCAATTTCATAAAGTATAAAATGTATTCATTACAGTAACTATACAAGCAGGAACTCACCTGGAAGGCACTTGCTTGGGTAAACCCGTTCACTTGGTTCATATAGTTCTGGAGGCGGCAAGTCTTCCATGGGGTGAAATGGGAACTTGGACTCAAAGTCATCTGGAGAATAGACAAGAAGTCAGTCTTCATGAGTAATTCTACATAGTAACTTGGTTCTGTTGGCCTTTCCTAGGTACACTATTTATATGGAGCCAAAATAATTTGCAGAACTCTGCAGAGAACCACTGATACCAACTGCAAGGACTAACTGCTTGTTTTGTCTAGGGGCATTGTGTGAAGCCCAGCCATGCCTCCTAATGCGCACTTTTGGCCAGCGAGATTGCACATCACAGTGATCATTATGTGCACATTACATTTTACAGGGACTCATGACACCCACATAATGTGCTCATTATCCTTTTTATGTTATCATTATCTGTAATTGTTTTATCAGTTCCCTGATCTCCTCTGTTTACACTAAACCCAGAATTGATCAGCCCTGACGACCTATGGCTTAAGAGCTATCATTGTCCGAGTAATATGCATCTCCATGCACTGCAGACAGAGAGGGCATCAGGGTTATATCAGATGCCCGATGTCTCCATAAAGAGCCTCTTTCTCACTTTTTATACTGCCACATAGGGGACACGTCAGCTCCCTTGTGACAGAAATAAACAGAATGATGCACCTGTCACTAAATTATGGACCTGAGGTGCAAGATTCTGCAGATATGTGCCATAAGTAGCCAATAAGAACTAGGTATATATATTTAACATTTGAAGATTTAGTTTAGTGCTATTTTGCCACTTTTCTGGGAACTAAACTGTCAATCAACTCTCGGCAGACCCCAAATACTTAATAAAAGTATAATAATTTGGAAATCATAAAAATTCATTGGGACCCAATTCATGGTGTACTTTATATGGGTCATTATGGAAAGACATTCTTTAAATACAGCGGCTTATATGAATAGATGTAGAAAGTAATATTACCAGGGCTAGGAGGACGATAAATCTGCGGGGATGACTTCCAGCCTGAGGACAGCTGATTGGATTGCGGCTTACTGGACAGCTCTGTGGATGGTGACCTCATTGGCGGTGGTGGGGGAGGAGCTAGCCGTCCACCGCTGTTCACTGAAAAAAGAATGGCACGGTAAATTCTATCATACAAAATGTTTCTTAATACAGTAACATTTATTTGTGACTTGATTTATCCCTGGATAGTTAGAAGGATTAAACAAAATTGCTTTAAGTAAAAATTATTTATTATTTCTGTGGCCCAGCACTATTAGAGCCAGTAATGGTCTAGTTCCCTTGGTGTCCGACCGCGGCCCTTTGGCACTTATCGTGTGTCCCTCAGAGCCCTGCAGATAGTAGCCTGTGTTTTCTACCTAGGTGCTCACTCAAGCCAGTGAAGGAAGCATTCAATCTTTAGACTGGCTTTGGTTTGATTTATTGCTTTCACACTATCTTACCTTTTTGTGCTGTCCATCCATTTTCTATTTTTATGTTTTATAATGGATCTTGTTGAGAGAAATATCAAATGTGGAACAGGTAATTTTTAGGGGGACTGGAGGGAGCACAAAGGAGGACGCATTGAAGCGCTAAGCAGTGATCTCTAGCAGTCCGATGTAATGTGTCTCCAGTTTCTAACTGTTTCATGAAGCATGTCCCCAGTCTAAAGCCACTAGCATAACCACAGTCTCTGACTACCTCCTGTTGCATGTCTGCCGTCTCCGACAGCTTCCTGTAAAATTATAGTCACTGATTATTATGTGTGGCCCTTTGGTGAAGTCAGGGGAGACGCTTGAGGCCCCCTATATCAAATAAGTTGACCACCACTGCTCTGCCATCTCTCCACAGCCTGGGCAGGTGCCCACTCTCTGATACTGGATTACACACTGCTGCTGCACAAGTCACTGTCTCCCCCTCTTGATTCTTTAGACTCAAAGTGCCTCTGTATATCTGAGGGGCATTACATGGAGTAGGGTCGGCTGCTGCATACCCTCTGATTATGAATTTCAGAGCTTTTAGCAGCCCTGAGAAGGCAGAGTTTCCAGGTAGACATGCACTGTACAGATTCTGACTCTTAAATTAAAGAAGCTTGCATTTGGGATGCTGGGAGATGTACTTTAGTAGCAGACACCTTGGTGTAGTGGTAGCTATTACTATCCTCCCATGCAGCTGCAGTAACTAAAATTAAAGCCGGTATTCTGGGCATGATGGCTGCAAGATTTACTTCCCAGAGCGATATTTAAGGAAGAACTCTGGGCAAAAATATAATTAACCATTTCACTGCAAGGGTTAACTGCTTGTTTTTTGTCTAGGTGCTAAAAATGTATATCCACCTGAACCGCAGAGCCGGCTTGCTCTTAGACCGACCCTTCCAGCCTCTCTCCCCCCGTAAATCATCACGTTCTTTACACAGTGTATTAGACTTGATGACGCTAAGCAACATTCCAGTGCTGCAGTGTAGGAGGAGAGAGGCTTCAGAGTCCGGAGAAGCAGGGAGCTGGCTCAGCGGTTCGGATAAATATGACTTTTTTAGCACCTAGACAAAAACAAGCAGTTAACCCAGCCCCACTGCAAGGGTTAATAAAGGTTTTGTCTGGAGTTCTTCTTTAAAAAAGGATCATAAATGGTTATCACCTATTAAACTATTTTCTGGTTATTACTTGGGAGCAAAGAGCTCAGCTTTATACAAAGATTCTGATTGGTTGGCAACTGATCTGTCTTTTTCCAGGTTTTCTTGCTTCAGTTTTCATTCTTCCTCTTCAGTGTGACACAGCAGTGTGGATCATGGGAAATACCTGCTCCCATTTTGCAATAAAAGCTTGCACTTTAAAAAAAAGAAGGAACATTATCTTTAAAGTCTTTACAATCCAAAAAACCTTATTACCTGCAGTTTTATGAGGTCTTCCATGTCCATGCACAGGAGGAACAGGTCTACCTGGAGGGCCTTTTTGTGGTCGTGCAGGAGCATTATTTTGTTCAGCAGAAACGTTTGGGTGTGGCGGTGGTGGCAATGGCTCAGATAACCTGCGCCTGGCTGATGCTGACATTGGATGCAAAGGAGGGGGTGGAGGTGGTGGAAGATCACTAGCATCAGGTGGCGTAGGAAAAGAGTCCTCTTCTATCCTCATGTATGAGGAAGGTGGACGTGCTGGTGGTGGAGGTGGTGGAATCTCTCTGGTATCAGGTGGTGAAGGGGACGGGCTTCTCCTGCCAGCATATCCCGTTGGTGGAGCTGGAGGAGGATGAAGAGGAGGGGGAGGCGGAGAAGGCAGGAAAGACTGGGAGTTAGGTCTTTGAGTTCTTGAAGACTTGTCATGTGTATATAATGGTGGCGGTGGAGGTGGCGGGGCACTAAAATCTACTGTGGCTTTTGCAGATTTTTCTTTAAATGGGGAACTAGGAGGTGGGGGTGCTTGGGAACTTGGCACCAGCTGAGGTTTGTGGTTTGAAGGTGGAACTGGAGGTGGCGCTGAAGGAGAATGACCAAGGATTGTTGGTCTTGGTGGTGGAGGTCTAGCTGCTATAGTAGCTGGAGCAGAAGAAGGTGGAGGCTTGGGTGGTTGATCCTGCTGCTTTGGAACACTTGCTTTCACTCCTGGAAACTGAGGAACATTTTTGTTTCCTGCATTTAGAATGTAAAAGCAGATAAAACTCTAATTATTTCCATATAAATTCCACATCACTATCTATGTGGACAATCTAGAATGAGCTTAACAAACAGAACGATTCACCAGTGGAAGGATAGATAATAGACAGTAGACACAAAGAAACAAATACAAAATCGAACAAATTAACCACTTGAAGACTGGGGTGTTAAATCCCTTTCCTGTCCAGGCCATTTTTCAGTATTCAGCGCTGAGGTACTTTGACTGACATTTATTCAGTCATGCAACGCTGTAATGAAATTAATTTGATCTAATTTTTTTGGGGACACATGGAGCTTTCTTTTGGTGGTATTTAATCACCACTGGGGGTTTTATTGTTTACTATGTAACAAAAAACTAGTGAAATTTTGTGGGGAAAAAATAAACTGTTTAAAATAAATATGGTAATTTACAAGCTATTGCTTAAAAATGAACTGAACATACAGTATATGAAATATAATACCCTCCAGGTCTGCACTACTACACATCGTGCAAGTATTTAAAGGATGAGTTCACCTTTTGCAAAAATGAATGAAATGCATAATTGAAAATGTTTTTAAAAATATGCATTTCTTTAATATTTGATTCAAGCCTGGAAAGCATTGCAATTGGGATCACTCGATCACAGCTGCAAAGCTCAGGCTTCTGCACATTCTCTCCCAGGCAGCGTTCGTACCGAGGTACGGAGTTTCAGTTAGGAGAGATGGGGGGAAGGATGGCTGGACTTCAAACTGCATTAAATCACCTCATACGGCGTCCAGCCATCCTCTTTCTAGGGAGCTGCCCATATTCCCGCATCTACCTAGAGCGAGGACGGCTGGACGCTGTATGAGGTGATTTAATGCAGTTTGAAGTCCAGCCATCCTTCCCCCCATCTCTCCTAACTGAAACTCCGTACCTCCGTACAAGCTCTGACAGTTTGAAAATGTGCGGAAGCCTGAGCTCTGCAGCTGTGATCAAGTGATCATGATTGCAATCCTTTCCAGGCTGAATGCAAATATTAGAAATGCATATTTTTTTATATATTATTAATTATGCATTTCATAATTTTTTGCAAAAGGTGAACTTATCCTTTAAGAAAACCATTTTAGGTTCCCTCTGTACTGAAGACTGGTAACTTTATTTTTGCAGAGAAAGAAGTCAGTCCAGTGCTTGTAACATAGTGTAGGGTGGAAGCTATATGTGTGTTTCCCTCACTGAGGACTCAGATGTCTCTACTCAGACTCCAGGAATTTGTATTTCTAGATTCCAGTAAAGTGAAAAACACTTTTTTTTTAATGCTTCCGTTAAGCTGGCATGAAATCCATAAACATATCCTTGGCAATTTATATATAAATAAGTAGTTACACTTTAAGTATATGACTAATGTTTTAACATTTAACATGTTATGTCTGAAAAAACAAAAAAATGAAGGATCACAAACAATATCTGACATTTCTTACCTGGTGCATCTCTCTGACCGGAAGGTTTAAGCACTGGGAATCCTCCAGCAAAAAGACCAGCACTTGGGGGTGCCATTGCACTCCTACCATTTCCAGTACCAGCATTTTTCTTCTCTCCTACACAAAACACGAGAGGAGCGTAATCATTATTCCAAATTATTTACCAAAATGATTTTTGACATATTCAGCCCATTTAATGCCTAAATACAAAAATGTTCACAAATTTAAAGACTATATGTGCTTGACTATATCCATCTTCTTTAATGGACTTTTATATGTCTTACACATAAATGAACCTGCAGCAAGCTCTGTTTGGGTGGGTTTTTTATTTATTTAGCAAGACCAAATCAACGTAATGCCATCAGCAAGGTACAGTGTACCCAACATCACCTACAGTTTTTTATGTTAAGTGCGTGATAACAAATATGTACGTTTATAGTTTTCCTTCCTGTGACAATGTCTTTATTTGCATTTCCTTTCAGCATGTTGGGACCATCTTTGTTCAGTCTGCACCCTGGGTCAACATCTATTTCCTGGACACAGATGCTGGCTCAGGGATGGCACAATCATGTAAATGATGGCACTTTTGCAATTCTTGGCTATGTTCGCAAATGCCTGATGCCGATCAGCTCCCTGATGCAACCCTTCACCTTGCTGTGACTTGCTTCAGAGTTACAATTTTGCAGTCCAATCACTGGAGGAGAGGAGACTTAGGGCTTGTTCACACCAATTGCGGTGCGTTCCAGAGCGGTAGCGGGAGGGGGCGTGGCGGTGCATTGAAGTCAATGGCACCCCAGTCATGCCCGCATTGCCCCCAGTGGGACCGGATGCGTGACAAAACATTGCCTGTGTTCCGTTCCACTGCAAACACAAAAAATAGAGCTTGCCACACGTCCGCGCGTGTGTGTGTGTGGCTGCGGTGCCAAATAATTCAATGCACCGCCACGCTCCCTCCCGCCCCAGAATGCAGGGGGAAGTTTTGTGAGCGATTGCGGTGCATTCCAGCAGCTACCGCTCTGGAACGCACCGCAATTGGTGTAAATAAGCCCTTAGGAAATTCTTCCTTTTGCATGCAGCAGACTGATGAAATAGGCATCTGGAGGTCAAGGACAGCTTTTTAATGATAACAGGTAGAGATTTTGTGAAAAATTATACTGTTTTGTATATTGTGACATGTCAGGAATATATTATTGTAATATTGCTGAAAAGTCAATTTTAAGAACAAGAAAACTACAACAGTATATTTGCCATTGTTGTCAGGTCTGGTAGTAACAGTTTTTAAGTTCAAAAGCATCAATTGTTTCATGTTATATGACCACGTCTACCTATGTGCCATACAAACATAACACTATAATAATCAAAACAATTTAATAATCGCTCAATAGCCCGGTATCCACCACACTTCCTGACAGCTCTTATGCTGCCCAAATCCTAATACAGTTTCCTTCCACCATTAGGTCTTACATCAGTGCCATGGATTACATTTAGGAGAGACAGTTTCTATTAAAGGAGAACTATGAGATGAGTGGTTTTCACTCACCTCATAGTTCTAGCCCACCTGTGACAATGAGACTGTCACAGGTCGGCTCAGTAGATCGGGAGGTGAGCGAACACATACCGGCGTTCGCTCACCTCTCGATCCTGTCACGGCTCTCTGCCGTGACAGGGGAGGGGCTGGATTCCCCCCTCCCCGCTCCGCCAGCGCTGACTGGCGGAACGGACAGGGGAGGGGGCAGGTACAGCTGGCTCTGCCTTTAGTTAGGCAGAGCCAGCTGTCAGTCACGCAGCTGGGCGGATCCCGGCACAATTGTGACGTCTCAGTATACCGCGAGCTACAGCTTGCGGTATACTGAGCCTAGGGTGACGGGAGGACGCTAGTTTGTGTCCTCCCGTTACCCTAAGGAGAACTATGGGGAAAAGACTTAACCCCATAGTTCTCCTTTAAGCCTTCATAATAAACACAATATCAAAATATGACATCTGCCTAGCTGTTCTGTAAAATATGTCCTAAACATAAACCAGATTATCAAGCTAAACCTCCAAAGTGTTTTGTGACCAATTAAGAGATTGGGAGCACTGATATAACAGATAGCAGTAAACAAATAAAGAAAATACACAATTAGTACACTGGAGCCGCTGTTACCTTCAATTACTGGACTACTTCGATCGTTGACCTCTGCAACTTTTCTTAATCGTGCCCCTTTGTGAATATCTGACAGTAATGCTGATCTGCCTCCTGACTCTTGTTTCAGGTTTGGTGCTGATGAACGACCCTTTAAAATAAAACAGGGCACATAAAGTTCATCAGAGGAAATGATTTCAGCTTTATAAAAGATTGCAGTTAAAAAGATAAGGTCAGAGAGCATATTCCAAATTTACAAATGTAAACAAAAACAAAAATAAATTTCTCTCATATATTCTTATTTTTTAATGCATGTACTTTCTATATTATTCTTTGCACAAATGTGAAACTCTTAGGGTGAAAAGCCAGAGACCCACACCAAGTGAAGTATGCCTTCCATGCCAAATGATAAACATTGTGATTTAACATTGTAGGAATGATTTAACATTGTAGGAATCACAGATTCAGAGTTGCTGGTCCCTGAGAACCTGGGCCTTAAAAAGCCATACCATTAAAGCCAGCGGCTGTGAAGCAGAATAATATATTGGTCTTTGAAGTGGAAGATCCAGGCGTTCTAGCAGAGCCCACGAAGCGTTCGCCTGGTGATATACCAGGTATGCGCACCACAACCACCTATGCCAGTCAGGAGCAATGAGAAACACTGGAATGCCCTCCACCTTAATCATTGTGAAACAGACATGGAAGAAGCTTCAGGGAAGTTAAGGCATGAATCAGGAGGTACTGATCCCAATGAGCCACCAGAGCATCCACTGTTTCTATTAGAGGATCTCTGGACCTGGAGACAAACCTGCTAATTTAGTTGATGACACTTAAGGCCAGGAGGTTCACATCCGGAGTCACCTACCTGTGATACAGGTCCTGGAAAGCCACTAGGTTTAGGGACCACTGCCATGCATCCAGGTGCTGCCAGCTGAGGAAGTCTGCTTGCAAACTGTCTAAGCTTGGTATTTACATGGCAGACAAAACTCAAATGTGAAGATCTGTCGAGGACAGGATTCAATCTACCTCTCTTGCCATGGTGATCCATCTGTTCCCTCCCTGATCGATGATATACGCCCACCACCATGGCATTGTCCAACTGGATCCGGATCAGATGACCCCCAAGCAAGTTGGTCCAACGCTACAGAGACAGCCAAATTGCTCAAAGCTCAAGGAAGTCAACCAGGAGACTAGACTCTTCTGACAACCAAGTCCCTTCCAGAGACAGGGTGCCCAGTACTCCTCCCTATCCTGACAGACTGGCATCCGTCATAAGGATCATCCAAAAGATGGGAAGGAAGGACTTCCCCAGTTTTAGAGCTGGATTCCTGAGCCACCAAGCCACAGGTGACCTAGTCTTCGGCGACAAATGGATCAGTCTGTTCAGGGACCGGATCGACTTGTCCCACGCTGACAGACTTGCACTGTAGAGGTCTGGAGTGAAACTGGGCAAATAGGACTGCCTCAAAGGAGGTTACCATCACACCCTAGACTCTCATACAAAAAAACTGGGTGACTTCTGGACTGGAGAGCTTGAAACATCCATCACTGGTGTAGAGAAGAGTCTTGACTAAAGAAAAATCTGAAAAATTCTTGAAAATCACAGGTTAGTCTTGAATTGATAACAGCAGAACTAAAGGAAAGATGTCCATTCTCTGAGGACAATATCACAAAACTGAAGCTGGTAGTAGGAGGGGTTATCCCGGGCTAACCTACAGTTTTTTTTTCTTTGTCAGTGTCTAATCCTCCTGTAGGCGGCAGTATAACCAGAACGTGAAAGACTTCTTGTGTCCCTCAATGGACGATAAAAAAATGATTTTGCAGAATGACATTCTTCATCCACCAGATGGCAGGGTTAGTCAATGTTCTACTGCTAACTACAAAACATATTTCTAAATGCAAACTCAAATTTTTATGAGTTCTCAAGAATGCATCCGATATATACTGAAGACCAATAAATGTTTTTATCTAACAACATTTAAGCAACATATTTGTTTAAACTTTTAAGAGTCGGGTTTTAGGTTTGCTTTAAAAAACCCTCTGAATTTGTATTTACTTTGTCGGCATAAAACCTATTGACGACATAAGTTATACATTACAATGTTTTCACAATTAAAAGCCAAATCTCATCCAAAACGGTCATGTCATATCACTCCTAATACAAACCCATAATAAAGATAACATTCGCTGGCAGCTGGACAACATATCATACATTTCAAAGAATCTACTGGCCATGTAAGAGCCTGGTGGTACTGGAGTTTTTGATAAGGATACCTTGCAACCCATGTGCCTAAGAGTATCACCCATATGCCTAAGAGTATCACCCATGTGCCTAAGAGTATCACTATTACTGGACTACTCTGCCAATAATAAGCCCACTCCTGCCATTTCAGATCCACAATACATCCATTCGGAATGGCTAGGATGGAAGATACAAGCCACATGTCAGCAATAGATGGCTAAATCTCCTAAAAACTGGAACACCCAAAACCAAGAACGGGAAGTGTCAGATATGTAAACAATACATGTATTTTTCAGTATGTTTAGCATTATTATTACAGCGCCGACAATTTACGCAGCACTTTACATAGTTGCACATTTCCATCAGTCCCTACCCTCAAAGAGCTTACAATCTAAGGTCCCTATCCCACATGCATACATAGAGGAGCCAATGGCACTATATAGAGTTTTTGGAAGCAAAATTTTCTGCTCCAAATTTTTTTTACATGCAGATCCTTCCATTAACAGCACTTCCTGCAGCAGGCTGACAACACTATACTGCTGCCTCACAATTAGCAGCAGTGTGGTCAGCCTGCTGTACGTGCTCCTTAACTTGGGTTGCACTGCCTATCAAGTCTGCAAGAGGAATGGGCAGACCTGATAAGCAGCCCAATTACTAATTAAAGGAGAACTATGAGGTGAGTGCTTTTCACTCACCTCATAGTTCTAGCCGACCTGTGACAATGAGACTGTCACAGGTCGGCTCAGTAGATCGGGAGGTGAGCGAACACATACCGGGTTCGCTCGCCTCTCGATCCTGTCACGGCTCTCTGCCGTGACAGGGGAGGGGCTGGATTCCCCTCTCCCCGCTCCGATCTGCCAGCGCTGACTGGCGGAACGGACGGGGGAGGGGACGGGTACAGCTGGCTCTGCCTTTAGATAGGCAGAGCCAGCTGTCACTCACGCAGCTGGGCGGATCCCGTCATCTACGTCGGGATCCGCTCCGGCTGCGGCGTCTCAGTATACCGCGAGCTGTAGCTCACGGTATACTGAGCTTAGGGTAACGGGAGGACGCTAGTTTGTGTCCTCCCGTTACCCTAAGGAGAACTATGGGGAAAAACACTGACCCCATAGTTCTCCTTTAAAGGAGCTTGCACGGCAGGTTGACAACACCGCTGCTAGTGGAAAGGCAGCAGTAAAGCTCTGTCTGCCAGTAGCAGGGAGTGCTCTTACTGGCAGAATCTGCAGGTTAAAAACATTGCAACAGTCACAAAACATAACTTGCTTAAGAAAATTGTATATAATGAGGCATGATGAAAATAGATCTTGGGTTTACATATATTTTTAGGTAGGTGGTGTTCATAGTGCCAGTTTGAAAAGCACTCCACTAATACGTGTATTGCACTGTGCAAATAAATAGGGAACATCCTCTCCCATCACATAGTTATTAATGAGGACCTGACACTTATAAATTTTTTTACACAGTGCACAGTGTGCCTTGTGATTAAGGAAAACAAGGTTTTCTCAGCCCTATTGGATGAGTGCTTCAGAGGACATCAGATGCTCCTTGCAATAGGTGGACTGCATATTTCACATACTGGTGCAGAGACAAAAAGGCAGCTGGTCAGGTCAGACAGTGGTAGCACAATATCAGGGATGGACCAATTTTGAAAGAATTCGGAAGCCAGCCAATCCAATCTAACAGCTTTAAGGCATATTAAAACAAGTGCATCCACTTAGGGCACATTCACACCACAGGATTGCGCTAAACACATGGTATCCATGCACCTAGCTTTACGTGCATTGCATTGCATTGCCATTCATTTGAACGGCACCTCAACACACCTCCCAGCGGCCATGCATTGCAACACATAACGTGGTAATGCAATACTATGTGTTGCGGTGAAAAAAAGTAATGCATGCACAAAGTATTGCGGTAACAAATGTTGCACCCGCAACACACAGGAGGAGCGTTTGGGTGCCATTGAGAATAAATGTCAATGAAACACACCAGCGCACCTAGCGTGCACTTCACTGCGTTTGTGTGATAGTGTGCGCTAAACACATGGATACCGTGTGTTCAGCACATGGCAATGGTAGGAAAGGGCCGTCAAAGTAAAAAAAGGTTCACAACAACTATAACCGTTACACACACTGGCTATGCGGCTCCTTGTATCCATCCAGTCTTTCAGAATATTTCAGAATAAAACAGAATCATCTAAGAGGTAGAAGTTTTAAAAATCCAACATGTAGGAGTTAAAAACGGAATAGTGACGATTGTTGATTTGCATGTGTGTCAGTGTTTTCCCGGAAGGGACAGACTGTGCCAGCACATTCTGCTGAGACAGTGTGGGAGCATGACAAGGAATGTCACCGAGAAGGGTAGGAGGACACAGTACTACAGTATGATTACACAGCTCAAGTTCTGGTGAGGAAACAGATCTAGAATAAATAATGCATTACTTTATGCTGACAATAGATGCATACAATACTAACACAACTACTACTAATAAATACACATAGTGTTACACCTCTTGTGCCATGCAGTAAATACCGATATGGCTGTTCCCTGTTGAATACTGTACAGTACAGAATTAGGGATGAGCCGAGTGTTCGATTCGAACATGAGTTCGAATCGAACATCAGCAGTTCGAGCGTTCGCCGAACTTTATGGCATGTTCGCGGTTTGTTCGACAGCGGACATTCCATACGGATGCCCACACTCCTTACGATAATCGTACGATAATGGCGGGAAATCCTGCGTTCGTACGATTATCGTAAGGTGTGTGGAAGCCGTGCGACCTCTACTACTGTAAGGTCGCACAACTTTAAACTTACGAACATGTTCGAAAACCCGATGAGCAAAAGTCTTGCGATGGTTGTAAGGTGTGTGCCCAGCATAAGGCAAAATGCCCTCTGAAGCTCTGATTT